AAAAAAATTGTATTAAAAAATAACTTTTAAACACGCCTATTAAAAATCATCACAGACACTGCTCAATTTCTTATCATGTGTTGATTTTCAGTAGACAGTCCTCAGCCTGTCCAAGTGTGAAGGAAAGTTTGGTAAACTGTGCGACCCCGCTCAATCGCGCTCCTTGGTCAAATTTCAACGGGTGGCAGTTGTCACTACCGGTGGCAGTTGTCAAATTTACACGGGGGGCAGTTGTCAAGTCGGGTGGCAGTTTTCAAATTTATACGGGGGGCAGTTGTCCATGTTTCCAGGAAATGGGTGGCAGTTTACAGCCTCCCATCAAACCATAGTCTTCTCTATTTAATAAATTTTCAAAAATAAGGAATATTGTTTCCCCGTGAAAGTTGTCTGATATTCTAAAGGTATATTTTCTACCTCTTCCGCTGACCTGGGATTTTGGGGCAGCTCAACTTGCTGGCGTCTGTGTATGGTTCTCTTGAGAAGGTTTCTCTCGGGCAACTAAGCATCAGGAACTTGGGATAAATTCGTCGCTCCTCTGACGTAAGGGCGTACCTCGATTATCGCATGAGCCGCAGAAGGCATGGATCTGTATGTATAAAACAGGGCTCACGTAGGAATTGAGATCAGTCTAGAATGGACTCCCTCTCAGGGACGCAACCCTTTTCGGCACAGCGACGTAAAAATCGGAGTGTTGAAAGAGGTCTTTTCGGCACATGCACTCACGCCGCAATTCGGCTCTGATCGTTAGAAAATTGACCCATTTTGGCACGAACATCAATTTTGGAAGTTTATCCGTTCCCGGCAAAAGTTCAATCTTTTACTTACCTAGATTGGCCCGAAGCGATGACCAATGCCGCGGAGGTACTTAAAGAGAGCGTTTTCGCGTAAGTACAAGAACTTTCCTCAACTTTCAAAATTTACGGTGTGCCGAATTGTACCATTGTATTCACCATTTTCGGCACATTGTGCCGATGTGCGGTGTGCCAAAAATTCAAATTAGTTTTGTGCCGAATAGGGCTGTTCGCGCCAAAATTGGACGCGCCCCCCACTCAGACACCCCGAATCCACCACTGACGGTTACATACCTCCGACTCGGCGAGCGCATCCCTTCAATCATTTTGTGTAAGAAATGATATTGAATCGATCCTTTGGGCATTAATTTTTGACGTTTCGATCGAAAGAATGCTCCAAAGTCACGCGCAATCCCTGAAACTGTGCGTCGAACAGGGCAAGCAGGTTCGGAGCGAGCTGAGCGAACGGAGCGAGGCATCAGAGACTGGCTCCCACTTTTCGAGGTTCCGTTAGGGGTATCCGATCGAACAGGAACTTCTTGGGCGTGTTTAACGTCGACATCCCCAAATCTGTACAGAGGTGAAAAAAGAAGCAATTGTTTGGTTTCTTAATTATTCTCTTAAAAATTGTATAATCAGCTATTCTGATTCAACCGAAAACACTCATGAAATCCTAAAGAATCTGTTGCAAGCGTTTTTTTTTTTCTCATTTTTGCGACGTGCACTGGAAAAAAAAAACACATCGGATCTAGAGTCCAGGCTCTCGAAAACATTGACAAGAAAAAGGACTCTCGATTCAATCAGATTTAAGCTTAAATCAAAAGGAAATCCGCTCAAATTAAGAGGCTTGGTTCTTGATTTAAGCTTAAATCTGATCGAATCAAGAGTATTTTTTCTTGTCGATGTTTTTAAGAGTCTGGTGTCTAGATCCAATGTGTTTTTTTCCAGTGTGAGGGGGCACGACTTTGCATAATAATGCGGCAACACCGGTGCCCTAAAATCATCCGATTTTCCTTTTGGTCACGAAGAAAGCAGTAGCTCGACCAACTTTAAAAGAGGTGTCTCGGAGCTCTTATCCCCTTCAGCAGCAATCATCAATACTACACATACATTCAGGCCCGCCACATTCCGTCTCGGGCCCTGGTACCAGTTTTAAGGTCCGGGCCCCAAACACGGAGGGGGGGGGGTCCGAGGGGCATCTGCCAAGAAATTTTAGAATTTATACGACTGATCGGACGCATTTTGAAGCTTCCTTAAAGAATTTTTCCATCAATTTCTACGGAATAATTATGTTTATTTTCTACTTTCAGCACAAAATACTTGCGAATTGTTGCATTCAAAACATCTGGAAAATTTTTATTTTTTTTTTGGGGGGGGGCAGCATATGATACTATATTTTCAGTTCTATGGGGGCCAGGCCCCCCTGGACTCCCCCTTCGTTTGTCTATGGCAAGGGGGTTGAGCCATGAGCCATTGAAGTCGAGGATGCCCAGACTGGAGACTCTTAGCATCTGACGACGGAAGAAAATGGAACGCAGTTACTAAAAATATCCCTTTGTACTTAAAATCTTGAGAATAGATAGAAATTTTCCAAGATGTACACTTCTTTGAAAATTTAAGAAGAATTCTACAGTGCCCCAGCGTGTTTCTGAAAATCCATTCACCTCTTGCGAAATTTTTAGGATAAATTTTTCAATTTTTCTTACGAAACAATTAAGGGTTGCATGTGAATTCGTAGTGGTTTTTAACGGGTAACACGAGCCCCCGCCGGGGCCCGGGCCCCGGTACCAGGGACCCAGTACCCCCCCCCCCCTTGTGGCGGGCCTGCATACATTACAATTACAAGAAAAACACGTGCCTGGTTACATAGCAGAGTACGGTGATCCACTTTCACTGGGCACCTTCAGAGACAAATTTTACTAAGAACCTCATCATGGAAACCCTTCCAACCGCGACGCAACCCATCTCAGCTGACTTGTACTTTTTGGTAGGAACATCTTCTAATTTTGAATTGTGAATTACATAAGGCTACCGATGAGGATATGTGCTCCAAGTGGCGGCTATTTTTAATGGTAATAAAAATTGCAGGCAAAACTCGTTTTGAAGGCACCAAATTATCACCACGCCAACACTATTCATCCTTTCTCTAATACTTAGTTTTGGTTCATTTGTGTATGTCTTTGTAGTCCACTACCGGTTACTGCTCTATTGATTTCAGGGGTATCAATTTTTTGGTTTATTTAGATCAATCATCTGGAGTTAAAAGTTAGATATTTTTACCCTTAACGTACAGACGTATTAACATTCTCAAAGTGAATAGAATCTATTTCATTCATAGTGGACTAAATAGGATGACAATGATGGAGTTTTTTAGCCATTGTGCGCAAAAAGTTCAGCTTAAAGCTGATATCTCATTACAGAAGGAAAAAGCTCACGCAAGCACAAGCGTGGTAGCAGGAAATTCAGGAGGCTGCGCTGCCCTTAGAATTGGCCCAACAAGGGCAAAACGCGTCTGCAGATGCCTTTCCTGAATGGACGTAACTAGTGTTGCTCCAAACAGCGTATCTCCTTGAGGGAAAATTGTGCTTGTGTGTGAGCTTTTTTCCTCTTGTAGTGAGATATCAGCTTTAAGCTGAACTTTTTACGCTCGATGGCTTAAAAACCCCATCATTGTCTTACGACCCGTGCGTTTACCGCAATCAGTTTGGGTAAATAGGATGAACTTAATCTTATCTCCCATCAGCTGTGAACAACTTTAGACATAATTTTTATTCAATAGTTTTCTTATGCGTCATCAATTTGTATTGTTTGACTTCGGATGTTGAGTGAGCCCATTCTCCATTTTTATTCATAGTTTCTCGTGAATAGCATATGGTTTGCCATTCGGTCTAGTGTAATACAATGCACTTAAACTACTATGCACGTATATTTGAAAATTAAGATATTTCCGTGCCTTCCTTTTACTTTACATTTACTAATGGTGGGTAATTTTTTTTATGAGTCGATTTTGTACGGAATAATTACAACAAAATTGATCGCGATTATGGTTCTCGGCCATTAATTACTGGAACCTTGTCTCAACTAAGTTAGTTAGTTATTTTGATTTACGACGATCGGCAACCAGACTATTTATGTCGGGGACCAGCAGGAAACCTTACATTTTTAAATTTAATTGCTTAAATAGTTTTAAAATTTCGGTGGCTACCATTGGATCATCTCAGCTTAAAGGATGGACGTTATGAGGGAGGGAATTCAGAAATTTGATGTGTGTAGCATAGGTTTTTGGGCAAGGAAGCAAAATATGGTCGATTGTAAGGGGGGAATGTTGACATAGAGCGCAGAATGGAACGCTTATCAATACAATTCTATGAAAATATATGTGTTCCCAAATCAGCACGTATAAGTTCGTTTATAGTGTGGTCATGAGCCTTAGACGACCTCGTCATTCTGATGATCGTGATCGAAACAGAAGATAAAACGAATAACAAATTTGTAAACCTAGCTATCAAAAAATTCTCCTAAAAATTACAAATAGTTATACATTTCAAGATCTATTGTTCATTTTAGAAATAAGTCTTTCGGGAACCTTTGTGAAGAAAGAGGTCTGGTCTCAGGCGAGAATCGAAATAAAGGTATTTAAACACAAGTGCCATAGAGCCTGGTTTCAAGCGGCCAATAGAAAACTGTTCTCCTTCATTTGGGTGAGTAGGCAAAAACGTATACCACGTGTCAAAATAATAACATCCTGAGACTCATTGATTCACTTTCATGCAAAATTGAGGTGTTGGGTGCAGGAAGGGCATTTCTCGGTCCCTATGTTTCGGAAGAGAGGAAGTTATTGGGCGACTTTTCTGGAATTTTTAGTTACCAGCATTGTAAAATCATGAGAAAAATGTAGTAAAAGTGTTGAAGAATTCCATGCATTTGCTTTAATTAAAGTGGATGAAACGTTAGCATAGATCCTCAGACACCGCAACTAAGAAATGCTTTCACTACATGCAGCGCTTCAATCGAGATACAAATTTTAAAAAAGCCAATTTCAACATGATCAGCGTAACCCATATTATTGAAGCGAGCTTTAATTCCTCCTTTAATGTCTGTATTCTGTGATATCATTTCAGGTAGACTACCTGGGCGTGAAATGTCAGGAAGAGCTGGATGATTATTTTGGCAAAGCAGACGATGCATTGAAAAAAGACGCGAGTCATTACTTGAGGGCCCTGGAAGTCTTTGAAATAACCAATTCTAGCTTCGATTCCTTAACGTCATCAATCAGGCACTTATTCAAGCACATAGATTTTTCCAGGCAAGATGAACTATCCTCAGTCTTATACGCGTTTCCAAAATTGCGACCGGATCTCTTCCCCTCAGTCGAGGAGAGGCGTATCGGCCAAAGAGAGTTCTCTTCCAGAATATCCAGCGTCTCTGTCAGGAGGAAGGACGACCTTTTCTTCGTATTCTTCCCCACTCGCACTGGTGTGCTATGGATGTTCAGGGACATTAACTTCAGGGAGGGAAAACTGTTCTACAAAATGGTTTCGGGGTTCAAGGATTTGGTTGTGGTGCAGCTTACCTGGGAAAAATCGGATGCGTTTAAAGGAAATCGAACGCTCACGGCACAGTATCGATGGGCTCCGATCAAGGATCGTTATACAAATGTTACGGTTGTAACACAAAAATTCAAAAATGAGCCCTGAATATTCTCCCGCCTTTCAAAAGGAATTATTTAAACCAACCTACACCGAGATAAAAAAAAACACCCAGTTATTCTACCGTTATAACGGTAGTGTTACAAGGGATTCCATGGTACGAGAGTAGAACCGTGGGTTTTGATTCTTGTAACGATGAGCACGATGATATGACCGTGTTCACCGTAATATTACTGTGGGCACAGACATACTATTATGAGTAGGGTTGTGCTACTGTGCTCATCAATAATATTACCAAAATCCACGGTTCCACTACCGTGGAATCCAGTGCGACATTATTACCGCGGTAACCGTCGAGTAACCTTGCTTTTTTTCTCCGTGTAATCAAAAGTTATTTTTGAGCATCTAAAGTAAAAATAAATCCACTAGAACAAGATACGCTCTGGATCAATGACAGAATATTTTGCATGGGCCCTCAGTCTTGCTCCCCGAACCTCAGGCGCTATCCGTTTCACGCTGACCGCACTGTGTTTGATGCAATGCGTGAAGTATTCGTGCAGTCTTGTAGGCGCTTCTGTTTCCTTCCTTCTCATTTTTTACGAGCTACCTCTCACGCCCTAAATTGAGTTTGTATTTTAACCGACAAGTTCATCAGTGATGATGATTACAAAATAAATTGTAAATAAATAGGGAGGGAACTAAAACATGGGTAAACAAGGCTAAAATTAAAATTTCATCAACATTCAATACATAGTAGTCGTGTTATAAATAAAAGATAAGAAAAAAAAATCCATCAGTTCCCTCATTACATCTGTTTGGTGATTGGCGAGAGGCACTTAAATACATTGCGTGTAACACAGATGGCTAGCTACAATCGTGTCTCACGTTCCCTAATTGTTTACCTGGGCCATTACTGCGCATATTATGAATTTTGAAACTTACGGGATCAGTTCTATGGTCAAAATCAATGCTGACTTCGGCCGCATGGTGAACTCTCCGGGGATCACTCGCGCGGTTTTAGGATCTCTGAAAGAACACAAAAATAGGACTTCAGGCAATTGCACAAATGTTGCTAGTGAAATTTCCACCTCAGTCAATGCTTCAGTAACAATCAATTTTACTCGGAGCCTTCAGTTGAAGACTATGGTTCATAAACATACCAAATGTAATTTTTGTGATCACAAGGAAACCTAGTTTGAAAGCATTAATCTGTTGATAAACTGTAGAAAGACACTTTATCTTTCCACTTCTACAAACCAACAAACAGTCATTGTCATGTAATAGTATATTAAGCGTATCCGAGTGATGGTATTCAACCGAGCTCATTACACTGTTGTGATGGATAAGGAAAGGGCCCTCACTTTCATCAACATGCAACAAGCCATTGACGGAGTTGAAAAAGTTGTATTTGAGTGTTGGTATTCAATCAAGCTCATTACACTGCTGTGACGGATAAGCGAAGCGCCTTCACTTTCATCAATATGCAACACGCACATTCATGGATCAATAATAGTTCCATCCTCGCCTTACCATCGTCTTCGTATTTATCGGCTGATGGTTAACTATTCCAATATCCATCAGCTCTCTTCGTAGTCTACGATTGCGTAGTCGGAGGCATGATCTATGGACAGCGAAGGAAATTCCGGTTTTACCGAGTGCTTCTTCAAATAATTCTTCTAGGCGCAGAAAATAATTAACGTAAAATTTGGCCTGAATGCCCAGATGGAACAAATAAATGATATTCCTTCGTGTTTTATTTTATCACAGTCGGGACTTTTTCTTTAAGTTCACGCTGAAAAAATTTATTTTCAACACAAACTGTAACATTTTTAAATGTCATTCCTCGTATTGCCTCTTTCGCCCATTCGTATAGCTGTTGAGCTGTTACATAAAGAATCTGGTATTTGTATGCTCGGCGAAGACTGTCCCTTGTCATCAAGCGTTTTAACGTAGCCCTTGGGCCATCACACGAGCCTTTTCCATGTGACATGGCAAGAAAATGGCCAGCGCGCAGATTCACAGAAATATGTCTAGTTTTAAAACATCAATAGGTTATCCTGACGGCGGAATCAAGCCAATCAACTTACAAAGAACAACAAGTTCTCTTTTTGCCATAATTGTTTTGTTTTTTTTAAAAAAAATTTGGTGCGACGCGCCGGGATCGCTTGGTAGCAGGTTATCTGGGATGAAGGTTATCTGGGATTTAGATATTTTTTCTTCAAGTCTAGGACACGCTTGATGAGCCTGTGTATACTATTCCAATTTACCTTTGCCTCGAACATTTGTCCTACTACATTTTCCGGGCAGAATTATTTGTTATGATAAATTTCTATTTGGATCCATCATTTTTGTGTTCAATGTGACAACAATGTGCAAGGAAGAATCTCAAGACCCACAGAGAAACTAAATATCTCGCTTGAGCCACGAAACCGGCGCGGCGTGGACGGTGGGACAACAGCTCTGCAGTGCTAAGATAGAACGGCGTATGAACCATCAGCCGTTGCCAAATTGTTTTCGATAAAATAAAAATTCCCGGGTAAACTTATGAATATTTTTTTCCCAATTTTTCAGAGAATTATGTTCGTATTTTAATCTGAAGTTCCTGAAAACTTCAAGAAAAATATACCTTACTTAAAAATAAACATTTGATCGAAGAAAATTTGGCACCTGCCGGATGTTCATACGGCGCTTTTCCTTAGCACGGCAGAGCTGTTGCCTAGCACCGAATGGCTACGGAAACGAAGTTACACTTACACATCTACAAGCATTCAGATTCGAATGTAAATATCCAAAAAAAATGAAGGATGGAACCCCAAAGAAGGAAAGAAAAATCCTCGACATTGTTGATACCTAGCTAATGACGGATAAAAGAGAATAGCCTACGCGGAACTATAAGGTCTAATTTTTTTTCAGTTGAAGATTATTAAAGCAATACGTACACAGTAATGCCATGGAAAACCGTGACATGTCAGGGAATCTTAAAAAGTCAGGAAAAACTGGGGGAAAATTGTCTAGTCGCCTATATTTGTTTTTGAGAATGGGTTTGACGTTTCGAGCAACAAGGTACCTGGACATTTCACCTAAAAATGTCCACCAATACATTATTAGACCTAAAATTATTTTGCCTACTTCAACACACCCACAAAATTTGACCTAAAAATGTGTTTGTCTGCACTTTGTCGCATGTACAACAGGAAATTTTGTCCAGTCCTCCGAAGTGTCCTTATGTCCAATCCTACTTTGTACGCTGACAAAGTTTAAGTGCACGATCTGAGCGTGGCAAGAGGGGTCCTGGAATTGAACGTATTTGCAACGCTGTCTTCAGTTTTAAGCACACTCTTTGACTTGAGGAAGAAAGTGTCAAGAAAATCTGCGCATTTTTTTCTTTATCTTTTTAAGAGCCAAATACCTAGTCTGTTCCAGAGGGTGACAGGTGGAAATAACCTATTTAAAATGTCCACAAAATGTCCAACAAGAAATGTCTATGTTTCTAACGTCCACTATAAAATGTCCAATTCATAAGTTGTCAGTAGTAAATGAATGTCCAATGTACAATTTGTCCATTATACATAAATACCCCTGAATGTAATGCCCAATCATCGCCTAGGTAACTACGCAAAAAAGGTCCGCTATGAACTTATAAATTTTACCTGACTAATGATATCATCATTAATATAAACTTCGAAGGATTCTGCCTTTTTCTATTTCACTCGAGGGGAAGTGTCCCCTCCCGGACACTCTTCCCCACCCGGTGACTGACGCTGCGCTGTGCTGAACGGTTCAGCCTGAACCTTTCCCCTACGTCTGACCGTTCCCCACTCCTCTGTCAATCGAACCATATGCCACCGCTTACGTATTGTCGCTCGCCCACCCAGGTACCTAGCGGCCAGCGGTCAGTCATAGAGAAAAAAAAGGAGGTGTTTGCATCTTGAGGATTTGTACCCACCTACGTCATCAACGTAAACAAGACGCTCGTTGAGGGTTATGTTGACGCTGTAAAAACGGACCATAATGTCCGATTTTTTTACTTAAATCAACTCTTTATTTAATTTCAAGCACTTTTTATAGAATGACTTTTTCCCTTAAATTACACCATTTCCAAGAAAATCGACAGGATAAAAACGTCGCTGTACCCAATGACGTCATCAAAGCTATAGATACTCTATGATAAATTCCAAGATGCCCGAAATGCAAACACCTCCTTTTTTTTCTCTATGGCGGTCAGTTGATGATAAATCTCGCTCATGCTCCTATGCAGCTACGCATTGATTACGCCAGCTAATTACTTTCTAATAATTAGAATTTCTTCGACAATAGTTTTCTTTATTTATTCGACTGTATTTTTTTCTCTGTTCTACTGTGATTTCCTTGGTTCTCTACTGTGTTTATCCTAAATCTCTGAGTCAGAAATCTGAAGCACTTCGGTATGCACCGAGTACTTCAGATGTGACCGTGACCTGAAATCTTCGGTATATACCGAACTACTTCAATTGTCTGACCCGAACTTCGGCAGATGGACCTTAACTNTTAAGTGCACGATCTGAGCGTGGCAAGAGGGGTCCTGGAATTGAACGTATTTGCAACGCTGTCTTCAGTTTTAAGCACACTCTTTGACTTGAGGAAGAAAGTGTCAAGAAAATCTGCGCATTTTTTTCTTTATCTTTTTAAGAGCCAAATACCTAGTCTGTTCCAGAGGGTGACAGGTGGAAATAACCTATTTAAAATGTCCACAAAATGTCCAACAAGAAATGTCTATGTTTCTAACGTCCACTATAAAATGTCCAATTCATAAGTTGTCAGTAGTAAATGAATGTCCAGTGTACAATTTGTCCATTATACATAAATACCCCTGAATGTAATGCCCAATCATCGCCTAGGTAACTACGCAAAAAAGGTCCGCTATGAACTTATAAATTTTACCTGACTAATGATATAATCAAATAAAATTGTAAAACTCACTTGCACGTAAAAACTAGTTAAATTGCGGACGCGTCTCGCCGCGCCGGCTCGCAACTCCGGCATCCTATAATTTTCCTTCGCACCTCGCCTATTAAGGGTCCTGAACAGGGGATTGTTGATACCGCTCAGATCTTGGTTGAAATTTTTAGGGTGCTTAAAGATAAATATACATATATTTTCCCCCAGTTGTTAGATCCTGCTTTTTATTCATTTCTTTAAGGAGCGAAGGATTTGTGTTTACTTCATGGTTTTCTTTCCATATACATGTGCCAGGGTCGGACTGGCTCGCATCTGAGGGCACAGACCCTTGGCTGGTTGAAGGGGCGTAAAGTGATATTTCCTGACGGGGCATCCCCTTCGTGGAGAGGGGTTCAGAAAATTTTGGCAAAGCAGCACAAGTTTACGCTATTTTCAGGTTCAAAGTTTATTAATCGCACAGAGTGAAAATTGTAAAATTGAACGTATTGAAGTGACCGACAAACTTCTGAATTTAAAGAAAACAAAAAAAAATTGAAGCCACTAGACGCATCCAAGCACCATTATTACCATAAGAACCGTTTCAGTGCTGCGGTTTACACGAGCTTAAGACGTGGGTCTAAAAATCCATCCTAAAAAAGAATTAGGCAAGAACCTGAAAAAAGAAGAAAGAACGAGTATCAACACAGCCGACGACAAGAAATATGTATTCGGGCCTCTTTTATAACTTCTCTCTCGAATCTGAGCGACACCTCATTGGCAGCATATAGCAGAGCATTCAGAGCTCACGCTTCGCGTCATCGCGCCTTCAATTTTTCAGATGCAGCACGGACGTCCATCAAGTACGAATAGTTGTATCTCTGCGCCGTCGTCAACGCGCATCCTTTCCCTCCCTCTATTTCCATATTGTGTTTGTTTGCGTTTGGCTTATTCGCAATGGTGCTTCAAGCACTACGTGAATAACACAGCCGAAGGTAGGAGAGATGTGTTTGGGCCTCTTTTTGTCATGGGAACGGAGTTCCCCATGATATTAGAATCGTTCCGTTGCTTTCGCTATGGGATTCTCTATACCTCTGCGACCTTGAGCGTTTCGCCCAGTCTCCGATTTTTGGTTGATTTTCCGATGTATCAAAAACCGTTGTATTTTTTAGCCAATCATGTCTCTACGTCAAGTTGTGTTGATTGCTAAAATTCGCTTTCAGCGAGTTTTTTTCCAC